ACCTGCTTATCTGCCGACGTGCATCGTCGCGTGAGAGACCTACGCGCTTAGTGACGGCCTTCAAAGGCAACGCTCGCTTGAATATCGATGTTCGTAAAGTGTTGATTTGCCGAGTAGATGTACGCTAACATTCGAGATGCATTCTCTCCGCATAAAGAAAGCCACACAAATTTAGAAACGTTTCTAAAGAAGATTGGAACGGGCGTGCAAGAAAACGGAAATGAGACATCCGAAATAGAAATCAATAGTTTAAAAGTCCAATTGAGACTTGACGTAATTTTTGACAACTATGCAAGTTTTACATTACAGTTGAAGAGAGATCATTGAAAATTTAATATATATATATAAACTAATTAAATTCAAAACGATCCTCAAATTATTTTGACAGATGCTGAAAAGTAATGTTAAAAATATATGAGAATATCTGATTTGAGATAATCATCAAAAATATCAGTTAAGAATCAATATAAACAAATTATAAATATCTCAAGCAGCCCAGATATTCTACTTGACATTGTTATACATACTCCAAATACAAATATAATATAAAATGCAACGATTTTTCTTTTTAAAATCACTTCGTTATCCATGTGTTTTTCCAATATACAACATGTGTTATTAATTTATCGTTATTAAAAGAGTGAGACATAAAAGAGAGAAGACTGCATGATGCTATCAATTTCTATCACGATATTCTACAGATTTAATCATCAACTAGCTAGCATCAACGTTGAGGGAGAAAGAGGAAAATATTTGAGTAAGAAGCAACATCATATCGAGGCGGTACACGCGCGCAGCATCGTCGCGGAATAAACATCCCGTTCATGGGCATTATTTTCCGTTGGTACGCGTTTTGAAATGTACACCTTATGGTGCGCCTTATTAAGATGCAAATATCATGTCAGTTTCGCAACGCCGCCAAGGTATCTTCGACGGTGTACGCCAACGTAATAACGTCGACGCTCGTTCGCAAATAAATAACGTGAGAAAAAGGTAGATTCGCGATTTTCGCGCAAATTTCCCCGCACTCCGCGCACTTTCGCGCTACCTAAGAAAAAAAATTGTGCTGAAAAAGAGCAAGACGTGATTTCGATTATCTCGGGAATTTCGATACGCCGGAAATTTCTTATCATGCGATGCTTTTCGGCATCAACGCGACAAAATAATGTATACATACGGGTCGCCACTTTATCCTACCGCGCACCGAGGCTTAACTCTTATCGTTATCTCGACATAGCGTTGCTCAAAGCCACTGCTACCGTATTACCGACATCCTACATTTAGACATAAGGCACGACGAATTTCTTTCTCCTCCAATGATAATAATGTGTGATCACGATCGCGTGAGCATAAGTCGTCATTCGCGAAAAATGTTCGCGATCGCATATCTTTGTGCAACGACACTTATTAAAACGTATTATCTGTTACCTTGGTTAAGAATTTTAATTAACGCACGATACAAAATCCTATCGTACCGGTTCGGTCGCATAATGTTACGTGAAAATAACTGGAGGTTACAACTATCTAACGGTGCAGCCGTAATGGATACCGATATGGATACCCTTCAATCTAAATGTGCTGAATTCGTTTGCATCGCTTCACCATAAGTAAACGAGTACGATAACATTTTTATTGCCCGTTCTGTCGCCTCGGCTTAATACGTTGTCGCGAATGCCATACTTTTAGAAAATTACGTACAAAAAAAGAGCGAGCAGAATAAAGTTTTGAATAAATTGTTTTATTGCGCACGATCCAAGATATCGTTTTCGATCTATGCCTAATCGCATCTACCCGTATAAAAAAAAAAAAAAAAAATTAAATATTACAATAAATCGAGAAGTTACAAATCCGAGCGCTTACAATATATATAGTTCAATGTATCTACGTAATTAATTCAATGTTTTCAAAGTAGGTAGATTACTTCGAAATAGATCACTTCGAAGTAGACCAATGTCATTGTACGGCGTAAAAATAGCGGGAAGAAAATGTGTGACGTCTTCCGATATAGACCATTCGTGTTTCTGATTTCCAATCCAACTATCAAATGACACTCGTTCTAACTTTGGTATATTACGTTTTCGTGGAAATATCTATATGGCGACCACGTCAGTGCGTAGGAAAGACGCGGAAACGCGCGTCGTCTTCGGCCGGTACACTTTCCGAGACCTTCGAATAGACCTACGTGCGCGATCCGGCACGCAGACGGCGAAATGGTATGTTTTAAAAGGTCCAAATCGTTTCACGGCATGCGGTCCCATAGGCTCTCGAGTTACCTACGCGTGTCCTTGGGGGGACCTGCCTCAGGTGAGCTGCCGCTAGAGGGAAAGAAAAAAATAGGAAGCAAAGGAAGAGAAAAAACGCGCTCACGCGCGCACGAGCGAGCGAACGAGTCTTCTGCCTCAGAATGAGGCCCGTATACCCGGGCCCCGAATCTCTCAATCGTAATCGGTAATCCTAAAAATAAGTCCCACGGATAGGCAGAGTTTTCTTCTTCGAGACACGCCAGCGAATTCTCGTGCGTGAATCTACTGTTTCGGAACGAAAACGAAACGCGCATACAGCCTCGTGACTCATGCGAAGTCTCGAAAAAATCCCTCCGGGACATTCTCTCACGGAAGAATGCGTGCGACAATTCCGCCGAACAAAACCGCAACATTTTCGCGTTCAAGGATTTCGACCTTTTAAAATATATACTAATGAATGCTAAAATCAGTTCGTAACCGTGTTATTATAACCGTTCAAAAACCCATCTTACTTTTAAGACAAGTCAGTCTTCGATTAAAAAACATCTTCTTATATAGCTTATATATTCGACGAATTAAGTATTAAATGTAAATTTGATCCCCAAGAATAAGCTCGTCGGGTAAGACACATCCGTGACGTGGAAACATATCTCCGCATGTACAAGTCTTTCTCTGCAACATCCAATATTCTGTAAACTTACTTGTTTTGAGAAAACGGCGATGTCCTCGTTGAAGCTTTCTGACGAGCAAACGTCACCACCGGCTACACCAGGCTCACGCGGCGTACACGTTGCCAACTCGCACTTTTCGAATATGAGTGCGAGGAGCGGGAACAGGGGATGTCTGAAAGAAGAAGCAAGAGAGTACGCTTAAAGATAACGGGAATAACACACAAGACGAGCGAGCGCGGCAGACGAACGGCAGATACGCAATATCTAACGGAGCGTACCGCATCGTCGCGTTTCTTGCAAAGCAGCGCCGATCTCGGTAGGCATGCTAATTAACGCCGCGATCCTTCGAGCTTCTGGCCGACGGCTTCTGGCCCGATATTCATTTCTCCGAAGAGACGATAAATTATTACCCGATGTGTTTGCGATATTATATAACGAGCGTCGGTGCTGTGTTGCGAAAGAAGGCGCGAAAATCTCGAGCGAAACAAACTTGGCGTTCACGAATGTAATTAATCGAGATCGACGTAATTGGTAGATCTCGCGCGCATGCCATAAAGAAATATCGATGTAATAATAATAATAATAATAATAATGCGTTTTTTTCTTTCTTTTTCGTGACGATGCGACGCTTAAAACGACGGAATGGCACATTCGTCGTTTGGACCTAATTCCCGCGCTGAAGAGGGCTTTCCTTCGCGAGTTGTTCCGAATGCCCGAAATGTGCTCCGGATGTTCGTAAATAGCGTTTCTTGATGCGTCGAGATGCGGCCCGTGCGAAAAAGCGATCTGGATCGACACAAAGTCTCGTCCGCGCGGCGGTAGATCGGCCGCACGTTTTTCTCTTATCCGCATAGCGTTTTTCTCTTATCCGCGCGTGACCGACGGGGTGGGCCGCCTGTTAGCGCTACGAGGACGCAATTAACTCGGACAACCGTGGTGGCAGAAGAAGCGAAATTCAGCGTGAAGCGCTTAACCGAAAAGTAGGGGACTGTTTCACTACCGGCCGCGCGAGAAAAAAATAATTCCAATGAATGCATTTCTTAGATTTCACTCTTTGCACTTTGTTGCACATGGTAGAAGGAAGACGCGAAGGTCCAGAATACTATAACCAGCTCTATCTTCGTAACTACAGTTTTATATTTTTTATTCTATTCTTATTCTAAATTTATATTTCTATATATTTAATAATACGATTTTCTATTATATTTTGCCTATAATCGTACTTATGTATAATAAATTTTGCACTTTATTTTCTATGAACCACCAGCAGCAATAGTCAAAGATACTCAACCATTTTTTTCTTTCAGCTCAATTTGGTTTATTTATTCCACGAATACACGTAGACTCTAGAGCCAGGGACAAATTGAACAATGACGAAGAACGATCGATAATAACGAAGAATATGTGCCCCCTTGCAAATAAGCAGCCAGAGCGAAATAATATGCACATTCGTTGGAAACTGCAAATTCGATGGGTAGGACGTGCTAAATAATAAAAGTCATCGCGAATCGTTCTTATTTTTCGCTGTGTTAGAGTCTCGACATATCGTTCTTATCGATCATGATAGATACAGACACGCGTCTAAAGACATTAATCAAAGCCTAACTATTATTGTAAATCAATACTCGTCATTCAAATAAGATCATTACTTAACCTATTGCTTCCGAAATTCGAACAGCTAAGTAGCATAAACTAATTATGTCAATATAAACAATTGCATAATAATTAGAATTGCTCAAAAAATCCAAGATAATGTAAAAAAGCATTATCGAGGAGGATCCTTAGGACGGCTTAAAAAAAAGGAAAAGAGGCGAAGAAAAGAAGAGAGAAAAAAGAAAAAAAAGAAAAAACAGAGATTGTCATGCCACATGACGAACACGCATAATATTGCTCGTGCGTAAAAGCGCGCGTTACACGCAAAGTACGCTTACACACACACCGATGTAGCATTAGGAGGATAAGATAAGATTAGGATGGTGCCGGTGCAACATTGTTGCAAACAGGGACTAAATATCGAGTTAAAGTCGGCACAATTCTATAATGTTCTGGAAAACAATTTTTTACTCGTTAGTACAATGTACAATTCTTTTTCTGTGTAATATGCAACATTCGTAAAGAAATTCTTCTGTTTACATTTACATTGTTGAACGTAATGCTTATATGAAATTTAACCTTATAGCAATGTGCAAAAGGCAAACGTATTATCATTGCAACCATGTAAAAATGTGCAGTTGACGTCATCTTAAAGTTAAATGAAGCTTACATCAACTTCTAATTTGCGTTCGTATCATTAACATTTTACTTTAGAATTTGTCAAACGACCAGTCGTAATGTAAATCGCCTCTTTAAAGACACAGGTGGACAAGATATGATAAGAGTGTACATATAATCTAAATACAATCCACAAAGTAAATTTTTACGAAACAACACGTTTAATTTGTATGCACGTTCATTTGAGACGAGTGAGTTTAAACCAAATAGAGTACTGCAATAATAATTAATAAGCGCGAAAAATTACGAGGTGTGAAAACACCTTGTGATTCTTACATAAGTTGCAAATAAATAA